CCCAAATGTGAGTACACGGGCCTACAACATTTCCGCCTCCATCGGAAATGCAGCCGCCGCAGCCGGGAATCGAACCCGCGACCTGCGGGTCAGCAGCCTAACACCAAATTTGGTATATGTGGAGTTAGCAAACGGCCGCGAGCGCATCATGAAGGGCCCAATATACTCTAATGTAGCGTTGACGCACGCGCACGCTGGGCACAGTGACACTAGGTTAGGAAATCGCGAGCAACCTATAGTCTGACACCAGGCGCTACGACGGCTACAATGTGCCTCCACGACAGCAAATCATGTCTCTCATCGCTGCCGCTTGTCTCTGGCACTAGAAAATCGCGTACATGCGGTTGGGCATTAAGGCACATGACATGGATGACTTCAGTTCATGGACAACGCCATTGAGAGTTCGTGATGCCGTCGGGGACAACCTTGTAATCGAGTGTACCGAGACGAGTATACCCTGCACGGTCTGAAGTACCGCCGCAGAAGCTTTTCACCGAGTCTATGTCGGCGTATCAGCGTCAACACCCAATCACGGTAAACGGGCTGGTATTCCATTAAAAGTTCTCGAAGATTGTAACAGCGGCTGTCTGTCGTCTGTTGGTTCTTGATCCGAGGCGGGCGAGTTGTCAGGCTTCTTCAGCGCACTGAAGGTAGGCAGCCACGTCTGTTTTCTTCATCCTGAGCGTCGTCACTGTAGTTCGTACGAAGATGTATGGCGTCATCTGCGTCATTTCTTGTCTGGCGGTCTTGTCTGCAAAGGTCACGTATGTGAGAATGGCATTCCATGTTTTCTGCTAAACACGACATAAACGGCCAGCTTATCGGCGATGGCCTTCTCGAGACGCGGCGGTGGTAGGCAGTGGTCTGACGGTGGCTTGTTTGGCTGTAATTCGAGATCACCTGCAAAGGCGAATTTCGCGGAAGGGGGGGGGGGGAACAAGGAGGCACTGGCCTCTCCACTGAGAGTAGTAAAAATGCTGAGCCCCCCCAGTTTCAGCAGTGGTATGTGTTGGCTGCCGAAATGAGAAACGAACTGAGGGAAAGTTTTCATTCAGTGTAGCAGCTGCGTAGTTATATATAATATTTCGTAACATAATTTTCTCAGTTTTCTGCTCAGAAGGTTTTTTTCCGTGTGTCGCTTCCATGAACTGTACACTTTCTGCCTTTGCCGTTTATGCAACGCTTTGGTGCCATGCACTCGGACATAGCAGAGGAAGCTATCGCTCAGAAGGGGCTCTAGAACGTTAGACCAATCTGCCATGCCTTTATTGGGGTTTGCTTGAACTGAAGTTTACATAACAGGTGGCGCAGCTGCAGGCGGGAACCAAATAGTACACGTTTTGTGGACCGATCCCGTGCTGTTCCCGCCTTAAAAAATCATTGTTTCTTAGAAAACGAATTCAATCGAGGCTGCTCTATATCTTAGCTGCCATGAGTCAACGCAGGGTAGAAAGGTATTTGAAGGGGCCCGAGTCGGGAGAGCTAACAATGAATTGCACTTTCATCTCCAATTTACCAGCGTCGCCTCACTTGTACGATAGTAGGAAGAAAAAAATCGTCGTGGCTTGCAACAATGCTAACGGTATACGGCAGTCGACTAAAGCACAGAGGGAAACCCAGCTTTGACGTTAGCCCCGTGACTTGTTCGACCTTAGTGAGAAGATAGTTCACACTTCTCTAGACTATGGAGCTTGTCCACCTGCGAAGTGTTTCATCTGTTTCTAATTCTGCTTATTTCTCCCTATCCGCAAACAGTACACTGAGAGAGCTGTACATGCGAATAAGCGGCTCAAAATGGATATATCACAACTGAAAATATTTATTAAAGGCACATTAGATTCATCTCTCCAATTGCATTAAAAGCTTCCGCCAGACTGATCGCCGGGAATCATTTCTTTTATTACGCTCTGAAAGAGACTGTTCCGATGTGTCAACAGACTTTACCACAGTAATGCACCGTTTATTGTGCACACGAAACTTTAACGCAATATGTTCATGCAGATTTGCGAGATTGCATATCACGCAGACAATATTACGAAACACAAACTTCTTCTTGTGATTAGGAGAGAATAATCATAGTGAGACAGTGCGCAAAAAAATAACAAAAGAGAATGTAACGCGGACAAGGCGCCAACTATGAACTCAGAATTTATTAAAAAAACAAATATATGTTTAAGTGAACACGCACTAAAAAGCTCTGAATAAAGAAAAAAATAGTTCAAGGACGCTTTTGAGAAGTCCAAATTTGTGGCAAGTAGCGTGACCGAGGGTTTCGCAACGTAAGAATTTCTGGCTTCGTGAATGGGATGCACTTCTGCAATTTCCCGTGCCCTATCCCTCATGGGAGAATGGAATGCCGTGTCAGCATTTAAGCAAGTGCGAATGAGAGAGAGAAATAGAAAAAGTAGGAAGTAAAATAGAGATCAAGGAAGAGAAATAGAGATGAAGAAATAAATAGAGAAAAACAAGAGAAAAAACGTGAAAACAGGAAAACAGACAGGGAGAAAATACAAAGGCTGCCTAAGTCGGTGATTTTTTCAGGCTTCGTACCAGTGCACCTGTGAAGTTGCTTTTTTGCTGTTGCTGCTGCATAAGAACTCTGCAAAGCCACAGTAATTGTAATTTGGGAGTTCACTCACAATCAACGTGATTCGAGACCCCTGTGTTTCAATCCGAAGTGTTTTCTGATAACGTACCTTGTGACGCTCCATCAATGCGATTGTGGATGGTGACCACGGCTTTCTAAAAGCAGTGCCGATTTCGGCTGTCCGCAAAACTTGTTTTCCTATGTTTTCGTCACGAGTTTGCTTGCTTCTCGCTCGGTTTGCTCCGAGGAACGCCTTATTTAACCAGGCTTTGTACAAAGCTCACTACACCAACGAGAGTTCTGGTGCCATTAAACAATACATGCGCTGCCGGGCTAGAGACACGACCGAGTAAGTGAACTAATTTTCCGAACTAGTGTGTGTCAGATCAAGCTCTTGCTGTACTAGTGGACAATTACAGTGAGAATGAGAAATTAGCACACAGTTTATTTTACAGATTTCCCCGAAACACATAGCTAGGCCAGCTACATGATTCGTTTACAAAGCGATAATTTAAGGCTTTGTTGTATTTGGGATGTAAGAAGTTCTCCGTAGCCATCTAATTTACATAGTTCAATTGAGAGTCTATTTTGAAAGATGAAATGGTTCGTCCAAAAAGGGTGTAAATGTGGCGAACCCCGAGGAAGCGTTTTGGAAACTTTTCTCGTTATAATTAGCAAAGGTGCGATTGAAACAATGACGACGCTAAATTTACAGTGCCTGGAGATAATACCATCTTATATTTTCCGAGAACATTACACACAAACTTGACCACAAGTGCTACTGCGACCCAAATTGGTATATTTTCTGTGACTGAAAACCACCTAAAAATATCATGCTAAAATTTAGGAGGTTTTTGTCGGCTTAAATTGACTTGTGTAGTGTAAAATACAACGCGCACGGCAAACACACATACACCGTAGTTTCACAACTAAGGGTTTATTGAGCACAATAATAACGTGCACGCACACGTGTTCGCGTTCATGTAGCCTGCCAGATCCCTCGGGTATGTTGCGCTATTTATATAAGAATTAGAAGGCGTGCCCTTGTGACATTGCGAAATAACTATAGAAAATAGGAACCTAATGACTCATTATCAAACCGAAACCTAGCAGCACACATCACAAAGCATCATTGCAAGCTGCAGTTTCATACATCTTTCGGTAACACACTTTTAGACAGTTATAGTTTATAATTGTTATATAACTAGTATATAATTATATCATATTACTTGATGAAAAGATGCGAGATGGTGGCACTTGGAGTGTTGAAGAGATGAACGAACGGACACAGACAGATGCATGGATGGACGCATGAACGGACGCAGGGACGGATGCATGGACGGACGCACGAACAGACGCACGCACGGACGGGCGGATGGATGCATGGATGGTCATACAGACGGACGCATGGACGGACGGAAGCAAGAACGAATGGACGGACGAATGCTTCGCCCCACTCTCCATCATTCACTCCACGGATATGCTGTCATTTTTTTTAACCAAGCAACTACTAAGCCACTTACGTTGCCAGATCCTTCGTAGATGCCGCAGTAAATTTTGCCGTAATGATGACATCGTAAGCAAATATGAGGCAAGCTCTAATTTTATTGGTTATTCTGGAATAGAAGTCTCGTGGTACGTCATGACACATATATAAGCGAAAACAAAGGGACATGATGATGCGTAGAAAAACACGATTCTCTGATAAATTTTGTGATTGCTAACCAGTACGCGGTGTGCGATTCGAAATCAGGGGTATATATAACCTTCAAGCTGCTTTACAGTAGAAATCTGCTATGTACAAATCTTGAATATTTACTTGTGCATGCGGTTGCATGCCTGTTCTCGTGATCCATTCATACGACATATATCATACGAGTATAGGAACTCGTATGAGCCTATAATGTGCTAATATTGGTCAATATAAGCATACGAGACTCGCATATTTATGATCACGTGAGAATTTGATTTGATCATGTCGTCGATTCTCTAAGTATTTTGCCGTGATGCGCACTCAGCGCAGTTACATGACGTAGTTAGAAGCCATTATTATTTACGAGGGTCATGTTAATTAGTTTTTTATCCTATAATTTTGTATACAACCATTTCATATGGCAACGCACACGAACATTTATCAAAATAGGCGTCAACCTCTATTTGCGGGGGTTACAAACAATTAATAATAGACTAACCACTTAAGTCAGCACTATTCACTTACTAACTAGGTAGTTTTTTCGCTAACCCGCATTTTACTACCTTTCTTCACTAAGAGGCTAGTGCTTTGTGACAAGTGAAGGGTTAGTATTTAGTTAGTGAATATGCCAACCCTTATTTTTAAGTGGTCACTCTGTGCGACATTCAACCATTTCATTCTGTGTTTACACTGTCTCGACACTGTATGTTGCATGCCCAGGTGCCCTTGGTTCTGGATCTGCCCGGTGTGGGTGCCAACCTGCAGGACCACATCTTCCCAGGCGGGCTCAACTTTCTTCTGGACAAGCCTGTGTCCGTTCTGCAGTCACGCACTTTCACTGTGCGGGAAATCTTGCAGTACATATACTCTCGTTCGGGTCAGTGCTGCGTACGTGTATCTGCTGTTTGTAAACAGTTACGTAACGGTGGCGGGGAGGCAATGCGGACAGAAAGTTTCTCTACGTTCTCCTGACCTTAACCACCTTCGATTCGCTTGTATCAGTCTGACCCAGCGGTCTTACGTTGTGCTCCCATCTTCATCCATTTTGTTTTGTGCTGATCTTATGGGCTGTTATAGCATTTCATATTATGTGGAGTTTTGCGTCCCAAGACTACAATATTTCGAGAGACGTCGTAGTAAATCACTCCAGAAATTTCGACCATAAGGTGGTAATGAAAGGCACACTAAGACAAATATTAAGCTGATGTGCATTGTTGAAGTAACGGTCCGGAAATATAGTAGAGCTATTTCTGTGAATGGAAGTGCTTATTTGGAAATCACGTTTCAATGGTCTGAATTGCTTTACCGCACTTCAAATGAACCGCGTGAAAGCGGTCTTTTGAACGTCACTATTTCCGTTTCTGACGTTGCCTGCTCTACTACGCGGCCGCTGACACCAGTCAGAGCGAAAGTAGTGGGAGCCACAGTGCATTAGCAACAGCCCTTGAACAAGTTGTTTGCAATCTCGGACCTCATGGCTGTGCTTGCTTAGTTCAAATAGGCCCCGCTTGATGGCACTACCTATCCAGCCTAACCACCTGAAAACTGAAATTCTGAACTACTCGCGCCATTCCCCGTAGTAACTCCAGGCAAGCCTTTTTCAATAAATAAAACAGAAATTGACAAGAAGCATTTTATTACGCGTTCTTTTTTAGTACCAGCTAGCTTGATTACCGGTGAAAAATTTTATTCATGATCATGTCGCCGATGTGCAGCTTAAGGCGCACGTCTTGTGACACATTTAGCATAACTTCTTGATAAGTAGGGCACTAGTGTTGGAAATGTTGCCATTTAAGACGCTTATACAATGAGCTGTCACTCTGCTACAAACGTGCACTGACATCGCGCTGTGCACGGGGCTCTACAATTTTGTCTTCGGCAAATACTACGGCCACGGCCGGGATCAAAAGGTTAATGCATTTATGCATGCGGCATCGAACGTTCAAGTCTCATCCTTGAAGCTCGCGTAAGGTCTCAAATGTACTTTCCTATTTCTGTTTCGCGGGTTATCTCAGAAGAATCTCTAACAATCGCAAACCTTCCCAAGAATTGCGGTGTAGTGGTCACTGAGTGTTGCTGTCTGGGGGATAAGTGCGAACAGATCGAAATAAGCAATATACACGCGGGGAGATAGCACGGGAGTGCCACCACTGGTGTTAGCATTGTAACGAAACTTTATCGGCGTGTGTGAAGTAATAATCAACTGGGATTTCAAAATGTGTGGTACTATATAATGAAATACTTAAACATTCTCTTTTTGATATATAGAACATGCACTAAGGTGAGTGACAAGCTATGCGATAATTTGAAATCCCGACAAATATTCTTGCAATGCGCTTGCTCCGGCGAATAGTTTTCAATGCACGCTACCAGTTTGAATCCACATCGGGCGACATTAAAAACAGTCTGGACAGCGCTTATTTTCACCCGCACTTCAATTCGTTATCGGCTGTTGACGTAAATGTCGACTAGGAAATCCATCAATGTCGAACTGCTGTCAGTGCGCACATGCAGGTGGTATCATGATCTTCATTTCTTTGTACGTTCATTGTTAGTACTGACGTGGTTTCTTTTGTTTGCAGGGCCGTTGACACTGCTAGGTGGCGTGGAGGGGTTAGGCTTCGTGAGCACACGCTATGCCAGTATGGAATGGCCGGACATAGAGATCCACATGGCATCTGGGTCTCCCGTGTCGGACGATGGTGAAACATTCCGCTCCGCTCATGGATTGAGCAATGAAGTGCGTATATTATATTATTAGTCTTTCACTTATAGTTTCAGTCGAGCACAAGTATTCCGCCTAAGAAGGCACCGAGTAAATAATGAACGCGTAACAAGATTTTAACTCATACTGTCAGAACGTTAACTAAGAAAGCACCGGGCTGCGCTGCGCCTCATTATTTACGCGAATCAAGGTTCACGCAAAGACTTTCGCTCTGCTTTGTGAAAGGTTTTTAGGATACCTTGTCAATCACTGAAAGCGGGGTGTCGGCCGTTGATAATCTGGTAATCGGTAGGACAAGCAGTCTTATGTGGACCATGCATAGAAGTTTCCAGCATTACAAGCTCTGGAATAAGCTCGAACGTTCGCATCCAACACGCAATCCTTATAGAAGGTTCTACTACAGTCGCGAAGATTCTCTAGCGGTGCGGTGTTCTCCGCGCTGAGCGTAGTCTTTGAGAGCCAAACCCAAATACATCAAATATAAAGGTTCGTGGCAATATAGGCTACAAGAAGAGTTAAACTGTGCGATGAAGTCAGGGAGAAAACACACACGAGCTGTCTTCATAGCGAGTTTAAGCATTAGTGAAACAATGAACTGACTAGTCTGACATATTAGGCTAGGAACAGGCGTATGAAGGAGACACTTTTTAAATGTGCGAAATTCGGTGACATTGGCTTCTAATACACTCCTTCTATTTCGCTGGCTACTTTCCTGAAAGCTACGCCATAATTGGCAGATTTAACGCCCAATGTGCCGCCTACGACGTCACTATAAAACAATCTCAGACCTGCTTCTCCACTAGAGTACTACGAATCCAGTCCTCATCAAATACAAAAAATCAAGCAATCTTCCCACAAAAAGTCCTGAACCAGAGAATTACCTTAGGTATCTTCTAAATGCTTACTACTATTGTTAAAATATTACTCAGTAAGAAGTGGAGCCACCTTTCACCCAATAAAATTCTTCGTATTTACCTTCCAACACCTTTCTTCGAACGATCTAACGTTGACATTAAAAACAGATTTTCTTAAAAGCTTCAGTAGATACGCCTTAATTGGTGACAACTATTTTCGTCACTCGTTCATCGATACAGTAATCAACATATTTCAACTCTCTTCGTGCCCCAAACAGTAACAAAGATATCCCAAATTCATTCGAAAAGCTTTAAAACCACTGGGGTTCTCGTGCATGAGCATGATAACCCCAGTTCTCGAGCACTTGTGCATGAGAATTACGTGCACGGCAAGTGTTCTGAAGGACTCCTAGCACAAGCATTGCCGCAAGCAACTGGATACAAGGAAAATCACAGGGCGCCTTTCTCTGAAAAAAAAATTGATCGAAAAACTCGTTCATCTGCGTTTTTGCTTAGAAAAGCACTTAGAAGGTATGCAATTTAGCTTTCTTAACATTACGAACTATCCTCTCAAGGTGCTAATAGCAAGTTGCGTAACTACCAAAGTTCAGACTTTACCGACCATCGCGGAAGCTATGCAAGCGCCAAAATGTAAATTATCCTTCTCGTCCAAAATAACGCAGTTCGGCATCGAACTGGAAAAACTACGAGCTATACGAAGGCGCGCTGAACGACGACACATACGTACAAAATTAATTCATGGCCTTAGGGAAGCAAGACGGCTCCAGAAAAAGATTCGATGCGTTGACAAGCTGGAAAGCGAACGCTAGAAATCAATCAGCGAATCTCTAGACCCTCATGAGCCGCTGTCATAAATCTGGAGAACAGTTCGTGGTCTTCTCTACTCTCCACAACAACGGTACCCTTTTAAAGCTTTGGCACTCCATCATAGAAAAACAGAACTCGAGGTGGCTGAAGAATTCTGCACGAGAAGTGCTGGGAATATTATGAATGAAAACATCGACGCCATGATCGTTCAAGAGACTCAATTTCCAGAAATTGGCATTCCATCTACCATAGAAGAACTCAACGGTGCGTTAGTCGCTTCTAAGTGCACGTCATCACCTGGTCCTGATGGTATTACTTATATTGCGTTGGGACATCTTGGACAAAAAGCCACAAGAGAACTTTTAACATGCTTCAATAACGCCTGGCTCACCGGCAGTGTTCCCCGAAAATGAAAAAGTCGATTAATGTCACTTCTGAAACCAAAAAAATCACCATTGGACTTGAAAGCCTATCGCCCTATTGTCCTGGCAAGCTGCCTCGGAAAAGAGATAGAAAGAATGATTCTTTTTCGTCTCGAGTGGTACTTGGAACAATACACCAACTACCCTTCCTGCATGGCAGGCTTCTGAGGGGGCCGCTTCTTCATTGATCTATATACGCCGATGATATTTGCCTCTGGTGCACTGCAGTTACTCGCCCTCATGTGCGTGCGGGAATACAGCGGGCAGCAACCCTCACAACAGCCTACCCTTAGAAACAAGGCCTGACTATATGAACTGTGAAGTGCGCGTTGATTGCGTTCACACGCAAACCAATTACGCCATAGCCTATTTACATCAATGGGCAGAGAGTCAAATATGCACGGATGCATTGTATCCTGGACATAATAATCGACAGAAGTCTTTCTTCGAGCCCGCATTGCACGTACTTGAATAAGAGAGTGCCATCTCTTGTGCATACAATGAAATTCAAGTGCGGAAAAGCATGGAGAACTTCAGTGGCTTCCATGTTAAAGTTGTACAGAGCCTTATTTCTGGGTCTATTGCGCTACCGGTGCTGCCGATACTGACGAATGCTTGCAAATCCAATATTCATTCATTGGAGAGTCTGCAAGATCTGGCGCTGCGTATCTGTCTGGGACTGCCCCGATGTGCTTCTACCTTGGCAACAATCATGCTTGCCAAGGACCATCCGGTCAGGACTTATGCAGCAGTGGATTGCCTCGGAGCGCACATTCGCCATGCCAGCCATGTCCCAGACGACCACTTGGCCCTTATACCCTCCGAAATGCGTGCTACGTTTTCAGACGTCGTAGCCAAGCACCCAAAACAGCATTCCGTCAGGATATAAGCCAGCTACGGGAATCGCATGTTCCTTGTGGTGGCTCGACCAGCCGCGTGCACGTCTAGAAATTCCGGGTATCAAAAAAAAAAGCAATCACTCCTGAGTAGCATTGAAGCTCGCAACACTGCTAATATTATGAGTTTTACTTGGACCGAACGCAGATATACACACATGGGTTGGTCTCGTCCAGCAGCTCATCAGGTGTCACCGTAATTCCGGTTGTAGCAATGACAATCAAATTTAAGTTGTCGCATACAACTACGTCTGCGGCATCGGAGCTTGCTGCTATAAGAGCCGCTTAAAAATATCTCGTTCAAGAGCGTCCAGGAAAAAGGGCCATATTCTGTGATTCGAAGGCATCACTTCAGAGTTTGCAGTTTGCCATGCTTAACAATAATCATGAGCAATTGGTACATAAAATATGGCCACCATCAAGGTCTATCACGAGGGCATGATATTACATATCAATGGCTGCCTTGACATATCGGTATGACGGAAATCAAGATTTGGGTGCAGGTTAAAGAACCCCAGGGGGTCGAAATTTCCGGAGCCCTTTACTGCGGTGTCTCTCATAATCATATGGTGGTTTTGGGACGTTAAACCTCACAAATCAATCATTACTGGAAATCAATTAGCCGATGATGCAGCCCGCTCCGCCAATGAAGGACCACGCGTGGTTCCGATTACTCTATCAAGGACTGATGCAGCAAGACTTCCCTTGCTGGCTCGAGATCTTACACGCACGTTCTGGTCATCTACCAGCTTCCAAAGGTGTCACTTATATGAACGGGATCCTTCTCTCAAGATAAAGCTACCATAGCAACTTTGCCGCTCCGAAGCGACACTGTTATGCCACCTTTGATTGGGTGTTGCATTCACAAAGGTGAACTCTTATCGAATCGGTATGGCAGACACCTCTACATGTGAGTTCTGCAGATCTCAAGAATTCATCGAACACGTCCTGTGCAGCTGCGACACGCAGCAATGCGAGCTCCGGATGGTTCTGAACCAAATGGACTCTAGACCATTCTCTGTGCAGAAGATTCTGCGACCTTGGGCACGTGCCTCGATTGCGCAGAAAGCGACTAAAGTGCTCTTACATTACTTGAAGACAACAAAGCTGAGCGACCACCTTAGACTGCATGTGCTCCCCCAAGTGTGCTCATGATAGGTGTACCTTTATTCTCTCTTTAACATTTTACTCCCCTTCATTCCTTCCCTAGTGCAGGGTAGCAAACCGGAGGCGCGTCTGGTTAACCTCCCCGCCTTTTCTTGCATCTTTATAGCTCCCTCTCACCGACCTAGAACTGTTTTTATTGCTGTAACTATGTTCAATAAATACAGTGCGCGTCATAATTACGAAATGCGCTTCCTTATCTGCAATCACTGCCTTGAGCTTCAGAAAATAACTAGCTTAAGGTCGGATAGAACCAAGTTATTTGAGGCGTATATTAGATTCCAGATATACCAACGCTGCCAAAAATACATTAAGAGCGCTATTCGACTAGTGTGCTGATAGTACGCGGCATGATGAAAACGTCTCTTGGTTTGAGGCACAAAACTATATTTTGGTCCTTAAGCTAGGGTGCCAGAGATTGTAATCTAGAGTACTTAGACCGAGTATCTTAAGATACAAGATCTTTTGCGGCACACTAGCCGAAAAAAATCTTCCTTAACATGGATGAGGCTGGCGGAGTTTCGCTTTCCACTAGAATTCGGCGCACTGATTCGGCGGACAATTGCTTCTGGTGGCGATGGCTACGGGAGAGCAGCGAAAGGCCCTGAGGCGATGCAGGTAATATATGACTCGTCGCCAAGATTTCGCAGTCAGTATGGCGCGAATTTTCCTGGCATGCCCGGTGGGTGGCTGCAGAAAGCCACACGAAATAAAATATCTAAAAAGACTAAAGTAGCATCAACTGCAATCTGTCGCTTTTGCTTCCTTTCCCAGCAGCTGCAGCAGCGCCTCTATGTGTCCGCCGAGAAACTAACGACTCAAGCGATGGCCTCTGAGATGGCGGGTGCGCGGCGAGTTCATCCGGCCGTCCCAATCGCGCGGAGAGAGTTTCCGCAGGTGGGCGTGGCCCACTTTTTTCTCCGCGGCGCGGCGCTTACCACGGTGCCAACTTAAGGTCCCTAGATGAAACAAGGTAGCGTCACTCATTGTTCTCGAGCCGTCCTCCTCACTCTCTCGATTACTCCTCTTTTTCTCTGCCATCCGCGTCTGTAATTGGTGCATTACTTGCACGTGATCTTGCAAATAGCTGATGGTGTTATTTATTATTATGCAAAAGGTTCAAAACGAGTACGCATGCGTATATGGCTCCAGCCGGATTTTCGCCGTGACCAGAAGACAAAATCGTAGCCAGAACATAAACTGAAGAGGAGGAGCGTTTCGGTGTGCGCTAAGTCGACCAAGATTGTTTCGCCATGCTCGTTCAATGCAACCTCTGCGTTTTTCAGCAATGCTGCGTTGCCGTAAACAACTGAAAATGGTTTCGCTCTCTTCAACTCACCTCGTGCTTTCCGAGATGAAGCGCACCATGAAGTGCAACTATGAACCATTTCACGCGAATGCTTTCGTGCAACTCCGTCAACGTATGTCGACGCTGATCTGCGAAGCGAGTTCCCTTGTCGGTTTTTATTGAAACGCCAGGCGCGCGTCTAATGCGTGTCTAGTGCGTGCCAGTTGGTAAAAATACATGTTGGTATGCACGTATACAGAGCAGCTGTAGGTTGTGATCAACGCACCTTCAGAAACATTTCACTCTTGACCAGTTCCTGCTTGAGCCGAAACGCGCTGCTTCGAGACACCTCACCAGTAGAACTCTCACTTTTCAGGAAGTTGCCAGCACCGCATCAGAATCGCTTGGTATCACGATTGTCCAAATGGGCACATTTAAAAAAAAACGTCATCGCAGTGCTGCTGGACGAGTGTTCGTACCAGTCTGGTCGTAGTTTTTTTTCTTGCGTGTGCACAAGCCGGTTGTAATCAATCATCACAACGTCACGCCCTGTGGCCACTTACAGGATCCAGCAAGAAGCACGTTCACAGTGTGACAACACGAACAAAACACAATCGGAGAAGTGGACTAGTTAGAACTGGACGAAATACCGTGGCCGTGGAACTAAAATGTACTACGCGAGACGCCATGGCTAGTGGTGTAAAGTATAGAACTGCACAACGTTGCCGGTTGAGTAACGCACATCCCGCTTGCTTTTGTGTTGTGCCGTTTATGTTCATAAAGGTGACTGTTTATTCTACGTCTTATTTCGTTCCATTTTTTTTCATTTACATCTATTCACCGTAGCAACAGAACCCAAACATTCGCTTTTGGATGAAAGTTTTGAACCTTCTAGGGGGCGCTTCAGGCAAATAAGCGAGGAGGAAAAGGGAGGGTGTCGCTACCTTGGAAACTTGTTTCATCTAGGGACCTTATGCCAACTAGGAGGCTCACCAGTAAATGTACGGCTGGCAATGTGGGCGATGTAGCAACAAGGAGCATTAGACGAAAGGTCAGAGAGGCGGACAGGCTTTAATGAAAGGCAGCGATAGAAAAAAACGCCGGCTCTCAATATCTACCGAAACAGCAAAAACGAAATAAGACGGGGGGAGGTTCTAACATACTTCAAGTTTGAAGCGAGGTCGAGTTGTTTTAGAACAACTATCACCGTTTGAAGCGAGGTCGAGTTGTTTTAGAACGCGCTGTCATAAAGCGAGATTTAATAAAGAGGAACAATGTATATGCTGTGGGGAAGCTAAGGAAACGAAGGAACATGTTCTGATTGAATACGCCGATATCGACGCAAGTATACGTGCGGGTACAAGCCTACACGGGGCTTTGCGTTTTAGGAACAAACCTGGATAGTTGAGCACGTCCGTGATAGAATCAAGCCAAACGGTTAGAGTATTGTTGGCAGAAAACTAGTAACAGAGCAGAACTATAAAAAAAATCAGGTCACTTTGCCTGAAGAGGAAGAGAGGTGGAACATATATTTACACGTTTCTTCCTTACAATAATGTCTATTTCATCAAAGTAGATAAGGCATTAGGCCAAGACAAAAAAAGTTTTCTTTTCATGGTGATCTGCCTGCGTCCTGTTATATTATGTCAATAAAACGAAGCATTCTTTAGGTGCAATGCCTTTTCATGTTCGATGCCCTCGTTCATTTTCATTATCACTTGGTACACTTCAGCTGAAACGAACGTGCAGAGAAGACAATTATTGACGCGTGTGGCACCGGTTTGCCCACTGAGACAAGATATGATACCTCTTTAGTCAGGGCGCAGCGAGTCGCATACACTTCACCGCCACCATGCTCCCGCTGAACTGAGCGCGTCACATAATGAAGAAAAGCGACGCCTAGCACGAAACGCTACATGTCTTCACTGGCACGCTGCAAGAGAGTAAAAAGATATGGCTGCGAAAATCGAAAGGACGCGAATGCGCACTCTTCACGTCGGATGGCGCGGAAATGCAGTTTTAGTGGATTGCGGTCGTCGCTCACATGCCCTAACTCATTTTGTACAATGGGTGTACATTAACCCCGACCACGCGAACTGGGATGCAGTTCAGCAGTTCATAGCGTTCGCCAATAATAAAGCTACGCAAGCGCACTATTGGCTTTTCTCTCGTTTTTCTTGCCTGTGGTCGCTCAACTAGTTTAGCTCTGCACGTCTCGTTTCTTTCGGCTCCGGCAAACTCTGCAGGTCCTTTATGCGAACGACTTTCTGTCTCGCATCGCACACTGCCGTTACCCCACCCGAATCAACACATCTCCCAAGAACATCGGTAGTCGCGCAACGACTCGATTAATCGTGCCGTCACCTTTTCTCGTGGAGGAGCTTTTTTTTTGTAGGACTCCAGTGCGTGTTCTCAGCTTATACAGAGTTTTATACAGAGTTTTACACGGAGTTTTACTGGCCCTTACACGGTCCTAGAGCAAACCATCCTCGTAAATTACCACGTATCACCCATGCGGTTTTTTGTCTATCACCGTTGCCGTGGGACGGTAATCGTGAATGTCTCTCGGTTAAACCCATTGTGCACAACGCAGTTCTTAATGCTATCGCGGGGCCCGGCAGCCGTTTTCAGCGTCAGAGGAATCGGTGTCAGCGCAGTTGCTGACTGTTTGTCACCTGGACATATCAATATCATTTGTAGAACATCCTTATCTGTAGATAACATCTCCAACAGGTGTAATTGTTAGCTCGACTCGAATAAAGCCGTGCCTCACACTACACCAAATCGCAGTAAAGAATGGGGAATATGGGATGCATGGGTACACAGCTGGACCACTGTCTCGTAATCTTGTATCACTGGTTTGTTTAAACGCAGACGTGGGAGACGACGTTCCTCCCCTACCTTGGCCGCGAATCCATGTCGATGTATCCAGTGCTGCTGCGACCGCGATCACGGGGTCAACTGCGCCTAGTCTCTCGAAACCCGTATGATGCACCGGACATCGATCCTCGCTACCTGACACATCCGCAGGACATCAGTACCCTTGTTGATGGTGAGTCCCATGCGCTGCAAATTCATTCAATCAAACAAGTGATCAGTTGAACACTGGCCGAAGTGTCGAATATGCAGAATAAATGAAGCTAAAAAAAAAACAAGCTTCTTTCTCTCACAACGCATCAATAAAAAAGTTACCGCTTAGTATCGTTTGCACAAATTAGCTATTTAATTAGTTGTGGTAAACCCTCTCCCACTTAGTATAGGTGTCTCACAAATGTCCGGCCGCATTTGAGTTGTGCAATGAAAAGTGGCATTAAAAACCAACACCGTGTAGTGAACCCCTCAAAGTGACTTATCGGGTCTGTAAGGTCCATGAACGTTTCAGATGTCGAATTCGATGAAAATGCCTCGCCATTAACGCCAGTTGGTCTACGTATAGTGACAGAGTTTCAAGGCTCTAACATGCATCGTTTAAAAAATATGAATGCGCAAATAAACTTCATTAAGTATGCATTTAAGCAGCCGTGAAATAAAACCTTTCAGGCCTGCAGGCTATGCGCGGATCGCGTAGCAGAGTCACTGCGGAACGTCGAAGAAGGGACTTTCTATAGAACCTTCTTTGCACACTCTCGGGTATCCGTGAGATCCTACAAGTACACTTGAATTGTAAGGAGGGGAAAATTGCGCAGAAACGGGACGAAGCTCGAATGGAGTCGTTCCACGCCAGCTGTCCTAACTTTTGCGCTCGACCATCTTACAATTTACTTGAAAAAAAAAATTAGCGGTACCTATCTCAAACCAAAAGCACTTCTCGGTAAAAAAAAAACACGTAGGTGAGCAAGTTTTTCAGTACCCAAAAGCCTCATGTAAATTTTTTCAGAAAGCACGATATCAAGGCTCACAAAACACATTGTCGAAAACTTCGTCCTTCCTAAATTATGGTAAAAGAAATTTCTACCTTTTTACAACAATGGGAGATTTTAACAAAATACAAAATAGGTTTTAAGAATCTTTACGCTTTCGTAGATTTCTTCGTGGCCTCGAATATGGAGAATATGGAGTTCATGTTGACAAATTTTCATCATAGACAGACAACATTCAGAGAAATAGAATAGTTGGTCACAGCATCTAGAAGTCTTTACTGAAGACTCAAAAGTACGTTCAGATGTATATAGCTCGAAATGAATTGTACACGTTCCATCAAAGTTGCAAAAACGTTCATTTTTGCACATGTTAGGTCACAGACTCAGCATTGCGGCGGTCCTAGTAAAAATAGGCTCAACAGCAGATTTACTAGCAACTTCGAATGCCTACTCACTCAGAAAGTTTCAAGTTAATTTTTAAAATGCGCTTCTTAGAGAACAAATAGGCAAATTGAAAGGTGGGGTGGCTCAGCAGCAAAAACTCTAGGTGATATTAAAGCAACTGCCTCTTTTACCTCCTCCCGTGCCTGTCGAGGTAGACACTGTTGACGAAAGCTCGGTGGAGACAGCAGATGAACGTGAAGACCGCTCGGTATCTTCCAATAGAGCAGCGTTGGACCCTGAGAAACCATGACCGAATCGTGTAGCACCTCCTACGAAATACTAAAAGAGTGCATGGTGAATATTATGGCAAGCCTAGATGAGCCTTTCGTGAGCCAGTCGAAACAAATTATAAAATGTTTACAATGGTCAATAACTCGGTGGCTAAGCTCGCGGAACAAATGAGTCAGGCGATTGTGACGCTTACCGTGCGAATAGACGAAATCGAAGGTAGGCCCCCACCTCTTGCGGGCGGGCCGATGCGGGCAACCGGTAAACCATACCGGTTGCCCGCATCGTGTGCTCTACGTGTGCATGCATCGTGTGCATGCGTGCTAGACGGGAACAGCAGCACCAACTATCACCGCTGACACACACAGAAACGCAGCACCAACAACTGAGTCTATCGGGCGACGGGCTGCAATAACGTACACGTATCACGATGGCTAAGTGCGACAAACTACACACACTAGACAACATCTACAACAGTACACGACATGCAGCGGAACGGCCGAGGTTTCAGAAGAAAGAGGGGCAATCTTCAGCAGTTCGTTTACAACTGTGAAAGAAAGCCGGACGTGTTCCTGTTACAGGAGACAAATGACCTGGTCAAACTATCGGGCGACAAAGCCATAGATGCGGCAGCGTCTAGCAAAGAGCAAAGGAAAAGAAGACGCAGAGTTGCATCGACTAGTGTTGAGGTGACGCCACCGGAAGCTGCGGTGCTCCTTCGTCGCAACTTCGATTGATATGTGGGGTTTAACGTCCCAAAACCACTATATGATTATGAGAGACGCCGTAGTGGAGGGCTCCGGAAATTTAGACCACCTGGGGTTCTTTAACGTGCACCAAAATCTGAGCACACGGGCCTACAACATTTCCGCCTCCATCGGAAATGCAGCCGCCGCAGCCGGGATTCGAACCCGCGCCCTGCGGGTTAGCAGCCGAGTACCTTAGCCACAAGACCACCGCGGCGGGGCGTTCGTCGCAACTTCACAGTGGCGGAGCGTGAGCTTCAAGGATTGAAGATACCGCACGTGTTCGTAGAGATATTTATGAGGAGGGGTCAACGTCTATTTGTTTTGAACGTATACAGCAAGCCCTCGCTGCCGCACAGATTTAGGGAGCTGTTCCGCGAGGTATGCACAGTCGCCGGCGATCGGCTGCTACTCGATGCGGGAGACTTCAACGCGCCTCACGTGGCCTAGGGATATCCATGAGAGACACCCAAGAGCAGCCTCCTGTGGGAGCACTCGGCAGACCAGTGACTAGAGCTCATCGCGAACCCTGCCAATTCACGCGCACGGGCAACCGCGCCTGCACTGAAACGCTACCAGACCTTGCGTTCATGGCGAACATAACAAACGCACAGTGACACAACATGCAGGAAAATCTCGGAAGTGATCATTCCTTGATAGAGAATAAAATAGACACGGGATTGCGTGCTAGAGGGTGTCGCTTCGAGAGCAAAAGTAAGGCCAGAAGACGCATCCTCCGTCTCGTAGAATGGGATGCATTCCGTAAGACACGCAAAGAACGTGAGCAAGGCGACCTACCAATAACGAACATTCAAGAATGGATTGAGACGCTCAGGGCAGACGTGGAGGAAGCAACGCACGAGGTCCCTTCTGAAGCAAACCTTCGCGTTATAGATAGATCCTGCACATGTGGGAGGCCATGCAGTTTTTGCTAAAGAGATGGATACGTTGAAGGCATAATAGGACGTTACGCAGGCGCATAGCCACACTGGACAGGGAGACAAAAGAACACGCTTTTCACGTATGCCGCACACAATGAAAGAGACGTGCAATGGCTTCGAGAGACAGATGCGCGGTGCGAACGTTTGGCGCTTCTTCCGGCACCTTTTGGATCCGGAGACCAAGAGCACTCAGGCGCACAAGATTAGCAGGCTCGTACGTGACTTTGAGGTACGCCAGATGAATTTCTTGAGGCCGTGCGCGAGAGCTATTTTAGAACAGGAGAAAGAACACAGCACGCAATGTATGACGGAGACAACAATGAGAAGCTAGACGTGGAGTTTAGTGAAGCCGAAATTAGGGAAGTCTTAGGCAACCTCAACTCCAGGTCTGCTCTCTGCCCATATTGGGTAAACCAACAAGACTACGCCACCTGGACGATGACTCAGTTACGCGACTGACGGAATACGTTAACGACTGCTGGTGAGAGGGCTCCCTCCCCGATGCTTGGAAAAGAGCCCGCGTGGTCACGATTCTTAAACCGGGCAAGCAGGTGACAATCGATCAGCTAAGGCCGATCTCGCTCACGTCCTGCGTGGGTGAAGTCATGGAACACGCTGTCCTGACTCGCGTTACTGAGTACCTCGAAGACGCTGACGTCTTCCCCCGCGATGGTCGCATTTCGCCGAAACCTTTCCGCACAGGACGTGATGCTCCAGCTGAAGCATCAGATTGTAGACAGCACTTCTAGTTTCACCATGGTAATTCTCAGCCTTGATCTGAAAAAAAACTTTTGACAGCGTCGAGCATGCGGCAATTCTCCACCGTGTCTGATAGCTGATATTAGGCCAAAAAGTTTATAAATATATACGACACTTCCTCACCGGCAGGCGTGTGAGGGTCATAGTCGGCAATGCGGGATCCCCGGAATTCGGAACGGGTCCTACGGGTACACCACAGGGCTCCCTCGTGTCACCCATGTTCTTTAACCACGTCTTCCTTGGGCTACCCGAGAAACTAGCGACAACAGAGCGTCTGCATCACAACCTTACGCGGACGACATCACCCTCTGGGTCCCCGGAGGAGGATGTGGTGGCCACGTGGAGCGAACGCTGCGGTGGGCGTGGTGCAAAAATTCTAGAGAGGTACGGGCCTCGAATGTTCGGTGGCTAAGTCCGAGCTTTTGATATACAGACCCACGAGAAGGGGCCGCAAAACCGTCCTTCCCGGTGGAGGGAGATCAGAAATAAGAGTAATAACGGCGGACGGCCTTCCCATACCGAGCGTAGAGAACATAAGGATATTGGGACTACATCGGCAGGCCAACGGTCACAACGGTAAGACAGTTCTAAGACTTAATCGTTTGGTAGACGACACGATTCGGCTCTTGCGCTGCATATCGAACAGACGCAGTGGTATGCGGGGAAAGCTGTGCGATACGCCTCGTACGCGATCAGTCCGATAACGTTCGTCGCCCCTTATCTGAAATGGCTGGCGTCCGAACGAAACAAGGTCAATTGCATGATTCGCAAGGCCTTCAAGAGGGCGGTTGGCATACCTGTCAACACGAGCACAGACATGTTCGTCGAGCTGGGCCTGCAAAACACCCTTCACGAACTGATCGAGGCACACAACATTGCACAATACGAGTGATTGTTCAAGTCCAAGACGGAAAGGCGTATCCTCGAGTCTCTCGGTATAACATACCGCACGCAATGCGGAGAGAAGATGGTTCCTATCACGGTCCGCGACCGTCTCATTGTCCCACCGCTCCCCAGGAACATGCACCCGACACACCACCGCGGACGCCGCAACAAAAAAGCGAGTGACCTTCA